CTTACTTCACCACAAATAATATTGACACTGCGCCCTCCTTCAGCATTTATGAAGTGTGGTGGTAGGGAACTATCGTTATTTTACTTAAAACTGTTCAACCTAACTATCGACCGCGGATCCTACCCATCTGTATGGAAAACAACTGTTATAACCCCTAGATTCAAAACGGGATCATGTGGCGACATTGCTAACTATAGGCTCATTAACTTCACGTCAGTGCAACCAACACCTATAGAAAAAACATCCGCAAAATGCTAACAACATTTCTACTTTTGGCTAGCCTGGTTATCCCATCTCAGCACGGGTCTATGACTAAGCGCTCATACTTTACATCGCACCTGGAATTTTTTGCTGAAATTACCCAGAGAAGAGATGTTGAGCAGTCAGTTATAATTCTGTACTTCGATTTTATTAAGGCATTCGACTGTGTCTCACACAAACTCATTGTTCTAACACCTCCCCTATTCAGTATACGGGATCCCCTTTTATTATGGCTCATTTTTTTTAGCAGAACATAGCCAAATCGTCCGCTTTGGATCTTGTTACTCTCGGCCTGTGAATGTAAACGGTGGGTTTATACAAGGAAGTGTGATTGGCCCATTACTGTTTCTTTTCATTAATGACGTGTGTTCACTCTTTCAATACTGTAAACCTTCAATTTTTTCCTATGACCTAAAACAGGCTTATTAACTAACTTCACCCACCAAAGAAAGCCATATTTCAGCGGTAATCCAAGAAGAAATAAAAAAGTTGTACTGATGGACTGTTTTGTGGAATCTGCCTCCGAGTGTTGACAAAAGTGGATTTATTTACATTACTTGCTACCTTAACCTAAATCTGGCTATACACGAACATACACTGAAACTTCGCAACACTGTTTGTGACTTATGTTTGAGATATAGCAACAGTTTGAACTTTTCCGAGTACATTGCACCTCAAATATCTAAGGTTAAAAGGGTCATTGGATTCATAATGACAAAATTCAACGACATCGAATTATTGTACAACAAAGTTCAACTCACCCATTCTTGAATATAGTGTTTTAGTTTGTAGTAACTGCAGGCATAATGACCTGACTAAAATTGAATGTGTTCAAAAGTTCAAAGGTTCACTGAAGTTGTTTTGGGGCATTCCAACAGGAAGAATTATCACCAAAGATTTAAACATCTCAGTTTACAACCTCTCTCGCCCAGGCTTTTAAATAAAACCTTGCCTTTATCAACTGGTTTATAAACGGTATTTCTTATTCTTCGGCATCCACCCCTTCGTACTCTGTGGTATCAACCCACAACCCATGCAATAAGGAAAATATTCTAGCGATTCCGAGAGCCTACACAAACTTACGCCAGAATTTTTTGGTTGAGCATACTACCTGAGAACCTCCGTTGTGGTAAAACTACAACCCTGTTCAGAATTCGCCTTGATGATTCTATTTCCAAAAATGGATTATGTCAACTATTGAATATTGTGTTTAACAATTATTCATGCGGTCAATTTTCGTCATCCATTTACTTGACTGAAGAAGAGAGTAGAACCTTTGAAACTTTGCTCGTCTATTTTATCTTGATTTCGTCCTATTCATCTTAATATCTGAAGTCCATTTATGTTCATATCTGATTATTATTGAAATTTTTATCATGATTGGTGACTCGACACACCAGATAGTCTTTTAGTCCCTTCTTCTTCTTATAAATATATCTTGTTTTAAAGCATCCAAGGTCCATAATTAAAAGCAAATCATCTTGTGTTGCACTTGAACAAATTAGCACTTCAGATTCACTTTATCTTCACCACGTATATACGACACATACATGGTGACATTTGATTACCGATTGCAATTAATTGAGACTTTCATAGCATTACCACAAACCATTTCTGAAGAGACACTTACTCTACAGTCAGCTCTTACTACAATGACGATTTAGTTTCTTATGCAATTTTTTACTCCTTTCTTGTCATTCGTTCGGCGGTACACACAAATCGCTCATTCTCGTTTTGTGTTCACAACCATGCTTAATAAACTACCTATATACTTCGCGTTTCGTTCATTTCTATTTCCTTATTTCCTTCCTTTCCTTGTTTAAGACCAACTCAATATTCTTCTCAATAAGGAAACCTGTTTTTTAAATATGACAAGTATTGTGCTAATAATATTGAAGTGTATTTTTGTGAAAACCAGCAGCTCTGAAACGAACCACACTTTCTATGTGATAACTGATTATACTACTTGACTGGTTAAATCAAAGCGAATACAACAGGGTTGGAAAAGCAAAGAGATGGCTGAATGCTGCAAGTTTTATACGTTACAACAAAATCCAATCATTTCAGGCCATCCTTTTTTGACGACATATTCAGCTATATCACTTTCAGCCCATGCTAATGATAATCTTTATTTCTTATCTGATTCCGAATAAGTTTTGATTAAAAAAACACTGAATTCTCCGTCTTCCACAAAGCGTCTTTACTCCCTTATGTCTTTATTCATACCAAGCCAACAAAATCACTCTATTATGGGGTTGATGGTTGCACGAATACCTCAACGAGAACGTTTGTGCAGCTTATCGAAGGCGTTGCGTCGGTAATGTTTCGGCACGATTGGGGGATCCTCGTCTGTAAATGTGTCACAAAGCAAAGTTTCCCATCTTTTTAATACGCAATTTTAGGGTCGCTGAAGATAACTCGTGCTGAAGTTAAGTGTCTTCTTTTTGAAGCTGGGTGAGTTTAAGGAGGTCGATTCCCCGAAAGTTGTTCAAGGAAGCTGTAAGAAACTAAGCGTCTGCAACTAGACTGTTTTCCCAGAAATGTGTCGAACATCTGACGTAAACTGCGAAATGTGGTCTACTTATCGAGACTGTCGAGGGGAGCACCTGTCAAATGATGAGTCTAAAGATAAGATAAGAAGTTTGTGACTGGTGAACAGAGTGAATTCCTGTCCTTCATTAATATTGAAAGTGACATACAACACAATACATAGCTAGTTCTCTTTCTGTAGAAGAACAGTTAACTGATGGTAAAACTCTTTCTTTACCGTATCTGGGCTTCAGTTTGTCCCGATTGATCAGTGCTACCTCAGCCCTTGCGCTTAGTGCGACACCAACGACATCAACGCCGGTGCGCACTGCTGAGAAGTCCCAGGTTTTTGATGGTGGACTAAAATCAATCGGTTCATGATCTCAATCAAAAACTTAACAATCTCCACAACCCTGTACTGAAAACTCACATGAATCAAAGCGCGTAAAGAAGCCACAAGCACTCGGACGTTGACAACACCTTAACCAGTAACACCTTCTTTAATAGAAGCCTATTTATCCAATGAAGTCGGAGCTATTGACTTTGGGGATTTATCTACGGATACACACGTTAGAGATATGATCTTTAAATTAAGAAAGCGACTTTCTGTTCAAAAGTGCAGAATCTACTATGAGGAATTCGAACAGAAATATACATCCTGCGATTAAGTACGAAACTTCGCGTTATATATCGAAACTGTTTGTGTCTGACCACAAAGTCGTTGTTTGTTTTATTGAGTAAGCCAGTATAATCGGTTTCTAGCTTATTGACCTTGGGAGGTTTCAAGTATTCTTCCAGGATATCACTGATTTCATCTAAATGTTAGAAAAGTCTATAGAGGGATCTCAAAGATTTGCGCGTGGTGAAGAGCATGGCAGAGATACAAAGGAAGTCGGTAACATGCTTTGTGAAATGACCACTGCCACAACAGAAAAAAATCAGTTTTATTTTGAAGCATTTCACATTCAAAGAGTGCATAAAGTTTGTTGCAGATCCACAGTATGCAACTGAAACCAAACCAAGTGATCGGTTTGTTTGCCTTCAATTTTAATTTGATGCTTGCAGTTGTTATTGCGGAGATTATAGACTTTACCACTATTTTCATGGTGAGGAATATGCTTACAAACATTACTCTGTATAGAGCAGAAACGTTCAGAAACGGGCGATAAAAAATGGTCTGAGTCTGAATGTTTAGAAGTGGTTGGTCCGTCAAATGCTTTCGGACAGATAGAGTTCATAACAGAGTCTACTTCCAACCACAAGCCCACTGAGGTATGATTTAGTTTAATAAAGTAACTCCTCAGATTTTTGTGTAAAAACAATGTGTAGCACGCATAATGTGTGCCATTTTCTTTTCTTAATAGTTCGCAAATGCATAAAGTTGACGAAATCATATGGGTTGTTTGGAACTAAAATCACTAGTAACCTTGTACAAATCATGGTGGCGTACCCGTCTTTAGTAAACAAAGTTTACGTTGAAAGAGAATTCGATGTTATAGTCTCGCGATTTCATGACGATTATACGATGAAAACCCGGTCTATGGTTCATTTCAGAATACCTCTAGTTATCCTGAGGTAATATTCATTCCGCCCAGGTTTTTCCAAACACCTCAATTTTATCATCTGTATTTGCATTAATACTTGAGAAATAAATCATATTATCGTGTTGTTCACATTATATTCATTGAAGTTTAACGGCTATATCTTTTAAATGTAAAAATTCTAATCGTCTACACAAGATATTTGATATAAATTTTATCTTGATCAAAGTCGTGTTCTCTTGCGTAAACTGAACATTTCTTACCAATCAAAATGTCAGTAGACAAGCTCTTTATATCAAAGAGCTCATTTTGAGCTTTGTAATTCACTTGGTATATCACACTAGACCAATCCGGTTTAAGCAGTAGGGGACATAATAGGTTTCTATTTGGTAACTGTACATAGTTGAGTTATGAACTTTAAAAAGGAACAGTGTAGAAAGATCATCATAATATCAATGATTGTTAATTTTTTGTGGTGTTTAAAGTTAGTTATTCAATGAGTTGTAACTTTTCTGTCTGTGGATTCAGGGTAATGATGTGGAGTTTCAATGAATTTTGTGTGATATTTATCAGTTAGTTAGTTAAATAAAGTTTTCCCAAGCTATAAACTTTATAATTCGTTATTTGGCCGTAAATTTGTAACAATTTTGAATACATCTTATGGCGTACTTGCACGTATTCAAAAGGTTTTTCCGAGTAATACAAATAAAGTTCCATCAACGGCATTTTAGAATTTTTGAATTATAGATTACTGACCACGGAGTTAATGCTAACTTTCATAATTCAAATCATTGCTGGTTACTTTCTAAATCAGATATAATCGTTCAGTCTTATCAAAATATCATTACATGACTGCCAAATATCCGATGATGTTTTGTATATGGGCCTAATTATAAGCCATAAGTAGTATAAAACTATGAACTGATTAGTAAATATGTATATTCTGTTGTTAGGCTAAATTATTTTGCAGTTTACCTGTTGGATTCTCATGCATTATGATCTGAAATTAAAAGACGTATTGTCAATAGAGCCATTTTTTACAAAAATGTCAAGATGCGGTAGCAAGCCTCTATAGGATCCTGATTGAAAACATGAACATATGCTCTTAGCTAGTTAGTTTATTTTTGAGATAATAATCACTTCGTGCTCCTAGTTTTCAAATGATACTTTAATATGCTGACGGGCATGAGAATTCTTAGTCAGTAACTATGTTACGAGCCGTTATAGACGAACCGCTTAGCATTGATTTGAAAAACATTTTATGGGTTAAATTTCCTATTAAATTATGCAAACATGGTTTCATAATTTTACAAGTAGACTATCAAAAACAATCCCGAGTTTTTCGTGGTAGTACATGATTTGTTTGATAGTGTTCAGTGACTAGTTGAGGATGGAAGTGATGAATGTGGTCTAACTTACTCAAACTTAGCTTTACATTCAACTTAAAAAGATGCCCTTAAACCATTTAATTGTTATCCGTACAACAATTTCAGGTAGTAAGAAATACTATGAATTTACATACACGTGTACTAAAACACTGTACAGTACAGTGTAGATATATCTTAGTAGTCAGTATGGGGTTGTGGAGATTGTTGAGTTTGAATTGATATCATGAGTGGATCAGTTTTAGACGGCCATTAAAAATCTGGAAGCACTGGACGGTCGTTTTATCCTATTGTGGGACTCCTGAGCAGTGCACATCCACGATCTCGCTCTTGGAATTCGAACCCAGGGCCTTCAGTCTCGCGTGTGAACGCTTAACCTCTAGACGAAAGACTCGGTATCCAACGGCGCTAATGTGTAACCCAACCAATCCAGGATATCACGCGACCGTCCACCATTGTCTTCAGTGAGTAACTACCTCTCAAAGAACACACTTAAATTCTGCTGGCCACGGCTTCTCATTAGAACTCCAGCAAATTAATCTTGAAGCTAGTCACTAGTAAGCACATGACAATTATCAGTATAGGGTCGTTGAGATTATTGAGTTTAGTAACACGATTTTTGTGAAAAAGTTCATCAAAAGTGGTATAAAGAGATGTTTAGACAGAATCCAAGGAAATTTAGTTTATTAACTGAAGGAGGTAATCATATGGTAGCCAATTATCGCTTCACATGACTGAGATATAATTCTGTTTTGGTCGAAAATATTTTACATTTAAAAGTGTTTTAACGAATACTTGCAGCAGAGAATTTGTTTATTATTTCTATAATTTGTGTATTTCATGTCTGTGATTCAGTCAGTCAGTAACAACGTAACAACGTCTGTGATTAATTCTTTTTGTGTATAAGGTTTTAGGAATGGTATTCTAAGTAGGTAGATAAGTTTTACTAAAAAAACAACAAAATCACACGAGTTGGTTCAGTTGTTTTAGTGACAGTATTCAGCATAAAATTTGGTCATCTAAAATGATGTATATAGAATTAAGATATTGTGCCTATACTTGTAAGAATGATGGATGTCTGACAGTAAGAAACCTTTGTCTCATTGATTATCTATAAAATTATAAGTCATAGTATTTGAACACATTTAGAAAAACAGAAAAGGAATTCTACACTCCGCATTTAGACGTTGTAAGCTTTTTATTCCAGTGCTATTTGAATCCTAGCGCTTTTCGTTCCCAAGAATCCCAAGATTTAATAATTACAAATTTACCGTTGTACCCAAATATCCACTTATGTGACAACTAGAAGTGACAAAATTGGCAGATCATATTATCTGGGTACTACCAGTGGAAATACTTGTACTTGGTCACACCTAATGATTCTTTTTCTTGTATTTTTCAAATCATAGAACATAATTCAATTATAAACTAAAACAGTAGGCTATGCATTTTACTAGGTACCCGCATTACTACCACAAGTTAAAAATTTAGTGGATACAGTGTTTAAGGTATGAATGACCTTATTAATTTTATTTTTCGTTTATTTATTTATACGCTCAGAAAACCAGTCATGATAACCACTTAGTAATGACTAACAAAGAAAACGAAATTTGTCAAAAGTTATTATTTTCAAAAATCCGAGACCTATATAGTTACCAAGTCTTTTATTCTATAAACCTAGCTGTAGTTATAAAGTTAAATTTGGTCTCTTTGAAATGTTTTGCTGCGTATTGTCTTCTAGTTGCTTCTATTTTGTAACATTAAAACTTTTTCAACGAAAAAAAATAAGGAAAGAGAAAAAGGAAAGACTTTTGATAGGTATATTTTGACATCGAAGATTATATTTTTTGTTGTTTATACGTGATTCTGACGACAGCATTTCCCTTGTTGTGAACAAGAACTCAGGTGGGAAAAATTAATTTACGCTTAAACGCAAAATTGTACAGTGGCTTTGTCAATTGTAAAAATCATACGTTAAATACATTATTTGCACAGCTTCTTTGTGCTGTCCCTCACATACTCCACTATTCCTTTAATTATATTTTTATTTTGATCGCTTTTCGATTTTTTTCTTGTTCTCTTAATTTTATGCTCCTACTGCCATATATTTCACTTCCAATTGGTGGTAACTACTACTTATATCTGTCAACATAGGTAGCATACACTATACTCGGGATTGATCAATGTTATTGCTTTGTAATGCTTAGATGTATCAGCCAGTCCATAGAAAACACTAGTTTATTTTATAGTATGAAGCACATGTGGGCTATCCTTTAAATTTCGACCTCATCCTTCGTAAATTACTTTTCAGTTTCAAAAACGCATGATTTATGACGAATATTCACATAAAAATACGACACTATAATCACTAACTGACAGTCATGTGGTCACTTGTGACTAACTTCAAAGTGAATCTCCTTGAGTTCTGGCAGAAACCAACATCTGTAGAATTAACCAAACCAACAGTGAGACTTTAACGCACTTGAAAAATCGAATGAGACCAGTATTGTATCATCTATTGGTTAAAATTCAAAATACAACCCACTGTTTTCCCACTTAGTCACTCAGCTGATTAGTGCATTTTACGAATTCCAAATGTCGTGAGTTCACGTTACTACAGAGTTCCAAACGTGAACAAAACAGTTGATCCAGTCCTCTCAATGTTTACCTGGTTCTCGTCGGTTTGTCGTTACAACCATATAATTACTACTATTATCATTATTATTGTTGGACAGTAAAACTACACACACACGCACACACACTTGATGTTGTTTGCTCGTATCTTCTCATTGTTATTGAGGACTGCAATTGGTCAGTCTTTTGTTGGCATATATGCATCCTATGCGGATTGCCTTGATATAGCCACAAGTCACAAACTTTTTAAGTAAAGATGGATAGTGGCTAGCAATGGAATTCAGGACTCGCATTTCGTCCTATATGGGTTGTGAAATTAAAGACAATGAATCGCTAGAACGACAATTAAATAAATAATTGAAGCTGACTAGAATTATCAAAAAAGGTTCACGAATTTTTTGCCATTTGTTTATATATATATTTTTATTAATTAATCGTTTTAGTTTGTACGTATCTCGGATGAAGATAAATTAGAAGATGTAATGATATTGATGAAAAATTACTGGAAAATGATGGAACCAGAAAAACCTAGTTTATGTATTTCTGTTATTGGTGGAGCAAAAAATTTTGTCCTTGAAGGACATAAAAAAGAAGTTTTTTATTCTGTTAGAAAATATTTATTTGTTTACTTTAATATGAATTGTTTACTGATATGAACAGTTTTTAATATTGGATTAATTAATTAAGGTTTAATAATGATTGATCATAATTTCAAACAATGTATAAGTAAACTATAGAAAAGAACTATTAGAAGTAAGTGATGATAATGTTGTCTAGAAAAACAATGAAAGATTCACTATCAGACCATCAAGATTAGAGGATGAAAATGCATCAGAAGATATTGACGTTTGGATAGTTGATTAATACTTTTTAAAACAAAATCTATCAATATTTGATCCACATTTTAAATGACTATAATAGAAACGAGACAAGACAGATAAATTATGATGTTAAGCTATTTAGATATTGTTAAATAGGATTGCATAAACATTCAATCTAAATTAGTTTTTTTTCAATATTTAGAGGAATAGATAGAACAAGTGTATGCCAATATCACAATACTGAATTCCTTTTGAAGAAAAAATACGGTTTAGTTTAAGAAATGCCTGAATCACAATAAAACTAGAATTACTTAAAAAAAATGAACCATTAGGTAGAGTACAATATTGATTTCATATGGGTAAGTTTGTGTTAGTTAGCGTAGAACAAACATTTGCTAGATTAGAAAAATAAGTAGAATGTTTTATTGTTGAAAAGTTGTGACAATAAACAGAAGATAAATCGGAATCGGAAAATGATTCACAAAAGGAAAGACAATCTTTAATTAAAATATAAAGAATGTTTTTTAAGAAAAAAACAGGGAAATATGTACGGGATGACAGTTCGGATCTAATAGTTATGACGTAACACTTTTGCTGTATTTATTTCATCAAAACAAATGAATTTAATCATGTTTCAACCATAATATTATAGATCGAATTAATTCTCTCATTGTCTATTAAATAACTAAGATACTGTACAGTGTAATTATAGGATTTTTAGTTTATGGAGAAGTTTAAATATTTAGACATACTCGTTAAGTTTTGTTTGCATATAACTTGATTTAAACAAATAAATCAGAAGTAAAACAAAAGAAACTTTAAATTTTACGGAAGAAGATAAAATTAACTCAACTTTATGCGACTAATTTATTTCAATATGAACAGG